AAAAAGCTTGCTGGAGTGCCAGGCAGCGCAGGCCGATCCTGCAAACGACTCAGAAGGAACCAAGCTCGTAAAAGCTCGGCTCGGGATTCAGCTGTAATGTCGGGGCGCTAATAATTAGAATAGGGTTTTGGGGGGGGTTCCTTATTATAATTAGAGTATAATCTACCCCAAACCCTATTCTAATTATTACGGCCCCTGTAGTAACTGAAGGTCCTGCGCTGCCGGGTTCAGGCAGCATTCAGGCTTTAGCTTGCGGTTCTCGACCCGGGTTTCGGGCTTTTGGGGTTGAGGGTTTAGGGTTTCGGGCTTTTGGGTTTCAGTGTTTAGGAGCCATGTCGCGCAACCCACACATTTGGCTCCAAGCACTTCGTTCAAAAGCAAAGCCGGTGCCTCAACCACTTCTCGTCCCTTCGACGCCTTTGTAATGCCATGCACGCCTAAGATAGGGCGTAATAATTAGAATGGGGTTTTGGAGCCCAGTATACTATAATTATAAAACGGAGCCCCAAAAACCGTACTGGTAATTATATAGTATTGCACATATCTCGGAACCCCAACCCTCCTTCCGCTTCCAAGAAAAATCCCCGACACGTCCTGCGGCAGCCAGCACACACGCTGCCGCCATTCCTTGCAGTGTGGAACCATGGGGAACCCATGATTTCCGCTTCCCGCCTCTCGAAGAAACACCACAGTGGACCTATACAGCCCATATTCCGAACCGTTGAACCAAAACCTCACCAACAACCCCGAACATAGACAAAACCCTAAACCCTAAACGCTAAACCCATTCAAAACAAAAACCTTTTAGAACCCTGTTAGAAAAACCTTACTAGAACGCTTATAGAACTTAGAACCCTTATAGAAAAACCGTATTAGAACCCTTATAGAACTAAACCCTAAACCCTAAACTTAAACCCTAAAACCCTAAACCCCAAACCCTAAACCCCAAACCCAAAGCCCTGAACCCCTAGACCCCTGGAAATTTCGGTGGAAGGCGCCGGCCAGGTCGCAGGCCTCGGGCCACCGAGGCCCATGGCAGAGTCGTCGGCCGGCTCCTGGGGATGCGATGAGGTTCATAATATTATTTTAGGGTTTAGGGTTTAGGGTCAAGGGTTTAGGGTTGCGGGTTTGGGGTTTAGGGTTTTAGGGTTTAGGGCTTTAAGGTTTAGGGTCTAGGGGTTGAGGGTTGAGGGGTTAGGGTTGAGGGTTTAGGGTTTAGGGCATAGGGTTTTAGGGTTTAGGGTTTCGGGTTGAGCGCTCATAATCAGGGTACTATCAGGATACTGCATGCGCTTCTCGTAAGGGTTATAACAGGGCTACTATAAGGATACGGTAACTGCTATAATAAGGGCCAATAAGGGCACCATAAGAATACGGTCCTGACTTTAGCATAAGGCTTCGCCTTGTCAAAGCGCCTCGATGGCTTCGAAGGGGATCTCTACAGGTGTGTGGCAACTGGATGCTTTCTTTTTGCGATTTAAAGGCGTTCAAACGTCAGAGGGGTCAGAGCCGTGTGACGGTTGAGGCTAGAGAGCAAAACGGCAGTTACCGAACAGACTTAAGCCATGTTCTGGCGCTTACGTCTATATTCCTGTCAGTTTCAATGGCAAACCCAGAGTAGCCTCTACAAACACCTGAAAAGCCTATCAGCCATATCAAGTCCTAAGCCCTATGACCCAAACCAAGACCCCCTAAAGCCCTCTGAAACCCCTTCAGAAGCCTTTTTCACCTCTGGAGATAGATGGAGCAATAAATAGGTTGAGTGTTTATCGAGCCCTAAACCCTAAAACCACCAAAACATCAAGCCTAAACCCTAAACCCCAAAAACCCTAAAACACTAAAAGCCCTCAACTCTGAACCCCAAAACCCCTAAACCCCCAAACCCTAAACCCCTAAACCAGGAAACCCTAAAAACCTAAACCCTAACCCCTAAACCCTAAAGCCCTAAACCCCTAAACCCTAAAGTCCTAAAACCCCTTCACTCTAAGCTTGAAGGAACAAAATAACCTTTCAAGGCGAAGGCTCCAGACCCGCCAGCGAGCGCAAAATTTGGGTCTTCCCAGATCCGGAAGGCCCAGTAATGCCTAGGATTTGAGGGGTTTAGGGCTTAGGGGTTTAGGGTTTAGGGGAGGGTTTTTGTAAAGCAGAACAGAATATAATGAAATAGAATGAATGGGGAGGGTTTGGGGTTGAGGGGTTAGGGCGGTGAGGGTTTAGGGTTTCAGGGTTTTTGTCTCTTAGGGGGGCCCGAAGGTCTGAAGGGTGTGGGGATTCGGCAATTTTGGGGTTTCTTCGATGTCTATACTCAACAGGGAGGGATGATTAGGGCTTTCGAGGTTGACCCGATTATATGCAGCCATTCACACTTCATGCAGTGCCTTGATGGGGAGTATAATAGGGAGTCGAACATGAAGGCCCATAACGAAAGGGTGCTTTTTTTTTAAGAGGGTCTCCAGCAGCCTGCGTTCGAGCCTAGGCTTCACTGAGTCACAGGCTCGGTTTTAGCATGAGAAGACTAATAACAATACGAAAAACACTGATAGAAATACTAATGATTCTGAGAATAATGCTAACAATACAAATAACAAGACGAGTGAGGCGGGCGCGCGGGTGGAGTCCCGGATCGGCGGCGAGGAGCTTGGGCTTTGGGCTGAAGTAATTCATGTAAGCAAGAGGCTAATGAATTAGAATAGGGTCCTTAGGTTTTAGGGCCCGTTGGGTGGATTACAGTATAACTATGAGAAGAACCCCAAAATGGTATTGGTACGTATTTAGGCCGCTACAGTAGTTGTTACGCCTATCACGGTCGTGGCTACCATTATTGCTGCTTGTGTCACTCGTATCGCTGTATGCCTAAACTCGAAACCCTACAGCCGCGAAACCTTAAAAGGGGAGTAAGGCCAACTGCAAACAAAACACCGGATTGCCAAAGAATTGTTTGAAGCTTTAGGGCATCCCGGTCATGACCACAAGTCAGGATGACGGCGATTTCGGGAACAGTTGGGGCAAGGACGACGAGGAATACTAGATCAGCGACACAAGACGGAGCAAAAGACGAAAAGAAGAGAGGAGTACTCCATACAGGCTACACTGCTACAGTACACTCAAGCCACATAAAGGCGGTCCCAGTTGCCCACCCGCTCACCCGAGTGCAGCACAAAAGAAATCTCCTGGCGTGCTCGCGGCACTCGCCTTGGCTCCGGGTAGCTGACCTACGCAAAATGCAAGACCGACTGTATGCACATGAAACCAAAAGACGGCCACCACTTCAAATCTTAGTTGCATACATGCGGGAAACTACAGTATGTGTCCCCACATACACGAGCAGGCAGATGCCCGGACGGCCCCTCCAAGTGCATGTATGACACACACACACACACACTCAAACAAAGGCACAGTGCTTCATGTCGATTTCGCCCTCATGACACCCGCCAACCCCATACACAAAAGATCTAGGCTCGAAGCCCCAAACCCGAAGCCCAAACCCCCCGAAGCCCAAAATCGAAACCCCCCAACCCCAAAACTTCGCAGCCCTAAAGGCTAAAGCCCTCAGCCCCAAATCGCCCTAAAGCCCGAAAACCCACAAGCTCTGGGGAACTGCCATGGCGCAGCCCTTCAACTGACAGCACGGCTTCTGCTTGAGCGGCGCCCTCTTGCGTCAGCTGAGCCTGGTAGCTGTTTTAGGGCTTATAGTGTTGAGCTTAGGGTTCGGGTTTCGGTTCGAATGGAACCAGACCATTATCACGGTAAAAAGGGGCGCCACGGTCCAATCTATGATCATAAGATGTGTGGCGCTTGCAATAGAAATCCCACGCTCTTGCCACATATCAGACTCTTATCCCACTCCAGACTGGGTTCTTGCTAAAGGATTTTCTTTCAGTTACCATAATGGGGATCTATAGTAAATAATATGGTGTCTGTATTATGGTAACTTAAAATAAGAATCCCCTAACAAGAATCTATAGTAAATAATATGGTTTCTGTACTATGGCAACTTAAATTCAAAAACCCTAACAAGAATCCAGCAGACACGCCTTCCGGCCCTCAACCGTCTTGATCGAAGGCGTCTGGAAGCTGTGGGACTGCTCCGAAGCCTCACCACTTGGGTAGCTCTCTAAATAGGATCCCTTATTTTCGGGGTCCCCAATACCCTAAACCCTAAATGGGTGGTTCTCTCGATCAGGGACCCTTGTTAATTTTGGTGGCCCCCAGTACAGTACTTCGGGGTGCCATGGGACCTGTAATGTAGGGGGCTTAGCAAAATCAAAAAAAAGATTGGGGTCCCCAATATAGCACGGCACTCTTGTAGAAAGGACCCTAAAAAGTGAACCGAATTTGGACAGCTACTCAAATGGCAGGCTGGAGGCTTCAGCGCAGGTACGCGGCTTCGGGGTGGCGTGGGACCTGTAATGTAGGGGGCTTAGCAAATTTTAAACAAAATTGGGGTCCCCAATATAGCACGGCACCCTTGTAAAAAGGACCCTAAAAAGTGACCCGAACTTGGACAACTACCCAAATGGCATGCTGGAGGCTTCACTGCAGGTACTCGGCTTCCGGTGCCATGGGACCTGTAATGTAGCGGGCTTAGCAACTAGACTAGGGTTTCGGGGGTATATTATACTCTAATTATAACAATGACACCCCCCCAAAAAAAGTATTGGTAATTATGTAGGCTTCTATAGCTATTCGGCTCCGGGGTGCCTGCGACCTTCAGAAAGAGGTTCGGGGGGCACAGGTCTCTGTTTTACCCCCTCCTCAGGGCCTTTACTTCTGCATTTCTTTCCGAAGAAGTTTTGAAGTATGTAGCCCGGAGCTAACTTCCTCGGGGCTAGACCTTCCTAGAACAGACGTTGCTACGGTTTAGGGTTTAGGGTTTAGGGGGCTCAGGCGCCAAACGAACACAAGACTGGAGCTTGTGCTCTCATGTGGGGAGGGCACCTCGCTGGGCATGTGGAACCAGTCGGCGAAGATCTTCCTTAGCAGGTGCAGGTGTCCCCCGTCTGATAGAAGGCGACTAAGTTTGCATGACCTGATCCTACCGAGTCTCGCCAAGCCCTTCAATAAGACTTTTGTATGCCTCCAAGCGCCATGAAAACTTCTCTGGCAGCATCTTGAGGCATCTTAGTCTTAGCCCCAGCAAGAACCCTACACTAGACCCTAAACCCTAAACCGAAGCCCCACGAGCACCCTGGCACCCTACAGAATGGCGTTCCAAGCATCATTGCCAGGGCGCTAGTCCCAGATTGGATGAGTTTGTCCTGGCTGCAACCGTCTCTTCGGTGACCCTCAGAAATGGCCGCAACTGCTACCAACTCACCCCCCGAAAGCCTGAAACCCCATGCACAGCTAGATACCTGTGACTAGTGATGTTGTCACAAGCCCACCAACTCCCAGTCTTTCTCACAGCACTGACCTCTTCCCGTCCTTGCGCGAAGCTTCGTTCTTTGGCTTCGCCCTCGGCCGCAACTTCTGGAGGAGCCGCGCGTTCTTGAAGTCCATGAGGCTGCCAGACACCAGGGCCGTGACCAGCTGCACCACGATGCCTGGGCGTTTAAGGTTTAGGGTTTAGGGCTTTAGGGTTTAGGGTTTAGGGCTTTAAGTTTTAGGGTGTAGGGTTAGGGTAGGGTGTTCGAGGTAACCAGGTACGAACATGTAGGTAGATGTATCCTTGAAGTCTAAGCCCGCACAACAAAAAAGAAAACAAAACTGAACACTCAACTCCTTATTAAACCCAAAACCCAAAACACCACACCCCTGAACTCGATAAACCCTCATCCCCAAACCCGAAACTCCCGACCCCCAACCCTAAACCCTTCTGACTGGAATGCAAAAACCTTACCTTGTTTCGGAATAACAGTAGTAATAATAATGATGATAATAATTCGAATACTAGTTGTAACAATATTTAGAAGAAGAACAGTAATAATAGTAATGATAGTACTATTCATAAGAAAAAGAAAAGAGGAATAGCAAGCTTAATCGTGGTGTTGCAACTGTTGCCATACTACGGTTGATGATATAAATCCTTCATTACCCATAAGAAGGAATATACCAGAATTCCCATAGGTTAGTGTCATTAAGGTAATGCGAAGGATTTCTATCATCAACAGTATTACCCTGAACCCTAAACCCTAAACCCTAAAACCCTAAAACCCTGAACCCCAAAACCCTAAAGCCTAAAACCCTAAAACCCTAAACCCTAAAGCCTAAACGTTGCCAGACTATTACCGGCCGGGATGCAGGTCGTTGAAGCGATGAGGAAGAGGATCAGGGTCTGGTACGCTGCCGCCTGCTGCGGGCTCTGACCTGCCATAGGAGAATACAATGTGATGCAGGCTGTAGGGTTTAGGGGTTTAGGGTTTAGGGTTTTGGGGGGTTTTGGGGGTTTAGGGGTTTTAGGGTTTGGGGTACAATGACGGTATGGTATAGTATGGTATAGTATGGCATAGTATGGTATAATACAGTACCGTATAGTATAGTACAGTAGTAGAGTATAGAACAGTAGACTAGACTCTAGTATAACGAAAACTTAAAATAATGATGAACTAGAACAGAATATGATATACTATCAGCGGGCTCATAGGCAGGGCTTACATGGCCTACGGGGCTTACAGGGTTTTAGGGCGTATACAGCCTTGAAGGCTTTAGGGCATAGGGCTTACAGGGATTTGGGGCTCAGTGTTGCGGTTTGGGCTCAGGGCTATAGTCGGATGTAGGGTTGCTTTTTCATTGAAGGCACGTCCCAGCTGCCAAGATCTAGGCTCAAGGTTTAGGGCTTTAGGCTTTACCTACAGGCTTTAGGGTTTAGGGTTTAGGGTTTAGTTTAGAAGGCCTGCCAGGATCTGCCCAGTCATCATCCCAGGCAGGTGCACCACGCCCGTGACCGCCAGCGTGTTGATGGTGGGCGTCAGAGCATCCGAGAGGCTACTCCGGATAAGTGGCTTCAGGGCCTCCGTGGCCGTCGCGCCGCGGGCCAGCCGCAGCTCCAGTGCTGATCCTGATATGAACCCGCGGGTTTAGAGCTAAGCTTGCAGGGTTGAGGCGGACCTCAGGAAGCACGACTGGCAGGTAAGGCAAAGGGCATCTCGCCAACCCGGAGGAGTATGGGATCATGAGGCTGAGATACAGCTGATTGCAGTAGCACCCTGAATGCTCCCTAAGCCCAAAACCCCCTAAGCCCGAACCCCTGCAAAGCCCCCACGGCCGAGCGACTCTGCTCAGCAAAGCCCCGCAGCAGCCCCGTCACCGCCAGCGCGGCCGCGGAGGTCGCGTTGCCAAAGAGCATCCCGGAGACGGGCACGACCTTAGTGCCGCTGAGGGATGCCACCAAGGCTCCACTGTAGTCGATGTCGAGGGCTTCTGACCGTTAAGATGCAATTTTGACAGAAGCAAAAGAGCACTCACCAAAAGGGCGGGCTGCGGTGTGGGGCTGCCACCAGGGGTTTGGCCGCCCAAAGAGGCCCAAAACCATGGCGACGCCCTGCACGGAGAGCACGCCGGAGAGGATGGAGACGAGAAGGTGCCGCGAGAGGCCATCGTAGGTGTACTCCAGCCGCGACAGGGCCTTTAGGTGAGGCTCGCAGAGCTGGGCTGTCATACTAATGTAGGCGCCTGAGCATTAGAATAGGGTTTTGGGGTATATTCTACTTTTGCTACGATAAAGAGCCTCCAAAATAGTGTATGTAGCACCTTTTTAAGACTCTGAAGTTCACTCAAGAAGTCGCTGCTTTTTTTTCTTTAGTTTCCCGGGGAAGCCGGCCTGCTGCGCCGCCAGCAGGCCCACGCCCAGCACCCAGGCGAGGACGATGCCCGGGTGGCGCGTGCCGAAGAGCCAGTTCAAGATCAGCCCCCCGAGCAGGTAGAGCTGCCTTTTGGCTGCTGTTAAGGAACCTAACTTTAAGTTACCATAATATGGGGATGTATACGTAGTAAATAATGGGGTTTCCTTATCATAGTAGGGTAGTTCGAGTTCCTTAACAGCAACCCAGCTACAGAGCACAGCGAAGGCAGCTCCACAGCATAGCTTCGGCAAGATCGCTCAAACCGCGCAGCCAGAGAGTCAAGCTCCCGGTGGCGCCGACTATTCCAGAAGCCAACAGCAGCTGAGTCGTGCTCAATTTCGCAGCCACGATGCCAGCCTTTGTCCCCCCTGCTCTCGAAAGACCGCGTGCCCAAGCGTACCGACCAAAAAGCAGCGTGGAGAAAGGAAGAACAACGGCCAACAGCCGTGACATCGACTTCCAAGATGTTCGGCATCTTGGTTGCACTCTGACCCGCAGGGGCAGCCCGCTTCTGCAAGTGACTCGGCCGAGACAGACGTACGGGCAGACTGGAACCAGGTGCTTGAGGCGCTTTGGGGCAGTTTGCGGCTGGGATAAGCTGAATCGAGGCTGCCCATAGCCGGTCACCGGAAAGGCTGCAATGGGAGATAAGCTCCCCCCAGACATGGCGAACTTTGCGCAGACTGTCCGTTACATATCTCCCCTGGGCACAGGATTTGGGTTGGAGGTTCCGCCTGAATACTCTGGAAACCTCGGAGAGGGTTTAGGGTTTAGGGATTTTGTTTTTTTGAAGGCCTTTTGATGACTGCCAAACAATGCGAAGCGTCTTCAACCCTGAGGGTTTAGGGTCTAGGGGAGTCAATGTCAAATGCTCCTCAAAGCCGGCGTCCAGTGTACCGGACTGCCAGGAATGCTACAGAAGGAGCAAGGGCACGTAGGTCCAGGCATTCTTAAGCCTCTCGAAAAGCCTTAACGCTTAGAACAGGGTGGGGTTTTAGAGTAGGGTAGGGTGGTTAGGGTCTAAAGTAGTAGAGTCATAGATAAGGAGCCATCAGGACTGGAGTTCGTGAGGAGGCGTCAGGCTTCTATATATTGTTATACCGATTCACCAACTCTGGCCGCTAAGGCTGCGGGATGCACTCTCCTCTTCCGTCTTCCAACATTTATTTGGCGTCTGACGGCTTCGGGCTTTGGCCTTACGAGCCTCGGGTTGATGAACCGTTACTTGGGCCTCTAGGGCTTAGGATTCAGGGCTTCGGGTTCAGGGGTTTTCTCCCCTCCCAACTTCCCCAAGAAAGGCGCAGAGCTCACAAGGAAGCCGGTTTAGGGTTTAGGGCTCAGGATGCCACAAACCAGGAGACCTCCAACTAGGAAGCTAAGAAGCTAAGACCACTGAAGACGAGACCCCACCACATCCTGGGCTTTGTGGCTCCGACATCCAAAAGACCCTCCCACGGTTTAGGGTTTAGGGTTTAGGGTTCGCCCAGATCTTTCAGTGGCTTGAATCCATACAAAACAGAGCGTTGCAGAACCCCACAATGTGCTTTTTGCAATTTATATCTCTGACAGGGAACACATCCTGAAGTCACAACGAAAGAAACCCAACCCTAAAACCCCTAAACCCTGACCCCCGAACCCCTAAGCCCCTAAACCCCTAAACCCCTAAACCCCTAAACCCCAACCCACCTAAACCCCTAAAGCCAAACCCCTGAGCCCCTAAACCCCCTAAGCCCTACCCTAAGCCCTAAGTAAGCCCTACCCTAAGCCCTAAGGCAGTTGGCCCCCGGCGCCCCGGTACCCGCGAGGCGCATTCGCTGGAGGAGGCCGGCGACCCTCCACGCTTGGCTTTTCGGGGCTCAGAGGGTTTAGGGCTTAAGGCTTCGAGCTTGGGGTTTAGAGGTTTAAAGGTTTTGGAGTTTAGGGCTTTGGGTTTAGGGTTTGGCGGGTTTAGGGCTTAGGGCTTAGAGGGTTTAGTTTTTTTTGGGAGGGTTTGGGGTTCAGGGGATAGGGTCGGGTCGGGGTTGACAGTGTGGTGTTTGAGGTTTTAGGGCTCAGGACTTCGAAACTATCAGGTAATGCTACCATCCAACCCGAGGAGTTTTATGCAATAAGGTTTCCGTTTTTGCCACGTGGAGATAACAAGCATGGCCGGATGGATACCAGGTTAGGAGAGGCGTGTCAAGAATCAGAATAGTACTTTGCGCTGATAATGCTTTACTATCTAGGGCATGTCAGGCATCACTTACACAATCTCAACGATAGAACTCACCGCTGGAATCATACTGATTGCGAGTAATTACTAACTACTTCCGACTCCTGCCAGTCGTAGCAGCCCATAGCAGTTGCAGCGACCAATATGACAGCGCAACCATCAGTGCTAGAATTGTTTGACTCATGTAGTAAGAGCAGCCCCAAAACCAAATAAAAGAAGCAACCAAGGCCTGTGTGGCCCCGGACCCCTCGCCCGGGAGATGAACTTGCGCTGAAACCTGCAGTAGACAGCGAAGGCAAGCTTCTAGGAGTTGAGGCATAATGTAGGGGCACTAGCAATTAGAATTGGGTTTGGGGGGCATATGAAAGAAGGAGTCTGAAGATAAGGAACCCCGGCCCCCCGAGGCTTTGGGACTCGGGGCAGAGCACAGGGCATGGGATACAGCTCTGCCTGGTCTGCGCCTGAACGAATCGAAACCCCAACGCCAGAATCCACAAGTCGCCCCCACAGTGCTCCATACTTCAAGAGAGCCCAAAACCCTTCATCAATGATTCTTCGCAACTTCAAGCATATTGAAGATCCATGCCGTGACATACAGAAAACTCCATTAAATATAAGAGCTCCTTCATGAATTAAGATGCTAACGAGTATAAGATGCTTGAAACGACAGGCTACGCAAGCCATGTTCCTGCCCCTCGTGGCCACAGTGGGGCTTGAAGAAAGGGTTAGTTATGTTCAGGCTTCGGTTTAAATCGCAAGGATCACGGCCAATAGACCCTGACCCTGAATCCCTGAACCCGAAACCCTAAACCCCTAAAACCCTAAAACCCTAAAACCCTAAACCCTAAAACCCTAAACCCTAAACCCTAGACGGCCAAGCTGCCGAAAGACTTCGTCGCTGACCTCGCTGGGAAGCTCTGCCTCCTCGCCGGCGGCGAAAGGGCGGCAAGAGCCGCGTAACAGTAAAGCATACGGTTGATGATATAAACCCTGCAGTACCCCATAATTAGGAATTGGGTTTAGGGTTTAGGGTTTAGGATTTAGGGGTTTAGGGTTTAAGTTTTTAGGGTTTAGGGGTTGCATTACCCATAATAAGGAATATACCATATTTCCCATAGTTTAGGGTCCTTAAGGTAATGTAGGATTTAGATAACCAACAGTAGCATGGTAATGTGCCGGAACGTAGAGTAATGTATAGTAGAGTAAAGCATACTCAGTGACGATATGATATGCCACTAAGAACGACATTTCTCTGACCATATAGGACATGTACCATGGACACACAAGACCAGTATGCCCATGTGAATACGAAGCTACTGAGCGATGCCGATGGCAATAAATACCAATGGCGTCCGCAAGAGTGCAAAGCCAGAACCGAAGCCTGCAAACACCACAGGGTAGTTCTCTAAAGTAGGGTCCGTTTTGAGGGTCCCTTTTACAAGGGTGCCGTAGTATATTGGGGACCGAAAACGGGACCCTAATTTAGAATACTCCTTTCGAGGGGCAGAGCCTGGGGCTTCGATTCTGGCATTTGCAGCCCTGAATCCTATACCCTAAATTCTAAACCCTAAAGTCTAAACCCTAAGTTCTAACCCTAAAGTCTAAACCCTAAGTCTAAACCCTACAGTCTAAAGTCTAAACCCTAAATTCTAAACCCTGAATTCTAAACCCTAAAGTCTACACCCTGAATCCCTAAGGCCTCAATCCTAAACCCGAAGCCTCAACTCCAAACGGTTTCGGGTGCCTTCTTCCGGCCCACGGTGAAGGGCACCGGTGGGCCCCCGTACAGGGGACGCTCGGAGAGCTGCCTGGCGGACCTGAAATCACCAAGCTGTGTGCTTTGTTTTTGTTTCCTTTTGGGGGGTTCCTTTAAAGGGGGGCCTGAAGGTTTCCTATGTTCCTGTAAAGGGGCTTTAAGGCTTCCTAGGATCACAAAGCTGTCTGTTGTTCCCTATACCTTAACCCGCCAAAACCTACTTTTTTGTGGGCTCCTACACGAAAAACCCTAACATGGAAATATATAGGGACCCTACAAAAAAGATTGCTTTTGGTAGGTTGAGGTAAGGGTTCCTTTCAAGGGGCTCTTTAAGGTTTCCTTCTAAGTGTTCCCTCAAAGGGAGCCAGCTACAAGGGATCCTAGAGTAATTTTCTAAATTGTTAGGGTTTGGGGTTTGGGGGTTGCTTGTGGCCCTTAATGAGTAGAATAGGGTTCTAAAGGGTTCGATTAAGGGTTCCTTCAAAGCTACTGTAAGGGTTTACGCGTTTGGGCTTTACGGTTTACTGTAGACCACTGATTTTGTCATCTGCCTCTCCCTTAAGGGCCTTAATATTACCATCTTGTATGTAGCCCTACTACTGCTACTATGTAGCCTATGGCGCTTTGGGCTAAGGAGGCACATGAAGGGAGATGAACGAGCTAGGCGACTCGGGCTGCTCTGCGAGGAGTGCTCCACCTGGCACGAGGTTGAAGGCTGAAACGAACCCCGCTTTAAAAAAAAACAAGACGGCACCTTCCAAACCCTCAAAAAAATCCTTTGAAAATTCTAGGAAACCCGCTTGAACAAAAAAGACCTGAGATGCTTTTTTTCGCGGCTTCAGAGGGTTACCGGGTTGTCGGGCCATCTGAACTTAAGGCTTCGGTTTCACAGCTTTTAAGGAGCCTGCAGGAGCTGGAAGACATTTAATTTAGGATAGCCTTTAGTCAACATCTTGGAGGGCTTCTGATGCTCGCCTTCGTTCGTTCCTTCTCATGCTTCGCCCGGAACACCGTTCATGAGCTGCTTGATCGTCGGCTTTTGGGTACCTTTTATATAGGGCGGGGGCAGGTGCGGCCTTAAGAGTCCAGCGAGCCTCTACGACACCAGCAGGACCGAACCCGGCACCACAGCGAGGGTCCTGAATCCCTAAGCCCCAAACCCTGAAGAAGAAAGAAACACGTCCGGCCTCGGAAGAGACTTAAACAGGAACCGAAGCCTAAACCCCAAAACAAGACTCAGAGGCTCCGGAGACCCGCCTTCGGTTCGCTCCACGGCCCTGTGCCAGCCTACAGCCGGAGGTCTTCCCAGGGAGTGTTTTTTTTAGGGGCGGGGGCTTTCCAAGACTCCCTAAGCGTACGGATCCGTAAGGGTTCGTATAATCTCAGGATCCACCAGGGATAGTTTATTATAAGGACCTCTAAGGGTTACTATACTACAAGGACCTATAAGGGTTACTATACTACCAGGATCTTAAAAGGGTTACTACACTGCAAGGATCCACAAAGGTGTAGGGGTTGCTAGGCTGTTAGTTGTGGCGGTGCTCTTAGCATGGTTACGTGCTGTGACTAATTATGCCAATTCTTCACACGGGACCCCCCCCCTGTTCGAGGGCTTGAGGTGTCGACTTCGGGAGTATGATGGGTTTGAGGTTTTATGCTACTGTCGACTCTTTCCCCGACATCCGTAATTCTAACACC